GAAGCAGTCATTTCTGCAAAAGGATTCCCGACCAAGTATTGAGTGCATAACTGAACATAATTATTTGAAGGTTGACTTTTTTTTTGTATTAAAAACACTTTCCTTTTATTGGTCGGATGAAATATGCTAATTTTTTGAGATAGGAATTTTGGGTTTTCATGAGCTGTATGCCAAAATCATCAATATTAAAACAATAAAAGGCTTGAACTACTTCTGTTGTGTGTAATGAATCTAACATATATGAAAATCTAATGTTTATCAGTCCATTACAGAAAATAATGAACTTTATCACAATATGCTAATTTTTTGAGAAGGACCTGTATTTACAGTGATGGAGGATCACATTTGATCGAATATAGTTAACATACACACACAAGCATTAATAAAGACATTAATCACATCCTTTTCTGTCACTGAGTTCATGTTTATTTTCTACAAAATGTTCAGCATTTGGTAAATAACTCAGAATAGTATGTGAAAGGATGTTGTGGGGGGGTGGGGTGCAGGCTTGCATGCTTTGTTTTAAGTTGCCCTTCTAGAAACGGGAAAGGTACAGGCAGAGACAATGAAGAGTATAATTACTATTGCTGAGGAACCTCCGTTTATAACAAATGGAGATAATGAGAGCAAGGGCGTAGATTTGGGTAAGGATGATGGGGACATGTCCCTACTGATGTAGGTCCATGTGTTTCGGGGGTGGGGGGTGGGGGTTGAGGATGATTTGGTTCCTAACAGTAGTCAAACCAAAACTACACCCTTGAATAAAATAGCAGTAGCATAGATAAGGATCATTGCCAACATTTGTCACTAGACTGCCTTTTTCCCAGAATGGATGGATGGCAATCAGACCCTCTGCAAAGATGCATCTATCCATCTCCTAACCGCTTATCCTGGCCACTAGGCACTGAGACACCGTGGATACGAATCCAGTTCCATACTGAGTGCATACGCACATCCAATCACACACTACGGATAATTTTGTGACATCATTTAGCCTAAGTCTGCCAAGAAAATATTTTTACATTCTTCTATGAACATATATAATATGAAATCATTTAATTCTTGCATCATCTTCATCCATAACATATGCGATTATATACATCGAGAGTTCGTTTTGTCAGTTCATCAAACTGATAACTAGAATATGAGTCAAGAGTAAACAAATCATTCAAGGACCTTAACCGCTTCAGACTGAGATGAATCTGGTGAGAATGTCATATTTGTCCTGCTTCTACAATACGCACGGGGATTTTGTAGAACCTAATTTCAGACATATGAGAAACTCTGTTTTCCTTGACTCATGCATTTCATCTTATTGTCTGAAAGGCAGACGGCACCAGACAATCTCAGAATTTCATTCATCGCTGTACTGAATGCAGCTGGAGTTTTGCAGTTAGTTTGCTGTGCCAACAGATGGTACTGTTTGAACATGTGCCCTCGTCACCTTAAAAGTGCCTGGTGTTCATTCCCTAGGAGTGCTTTTTAATTCTTTTTAAATGATGACATCATAATTCTCTTGTCTTTAAAACCATGTGCCTTGGTTTATGCAGTTTCCTGCAGCTGTCTCCAGATCACTGGAACAATTTGATGAGCATTAAAAGCAAATGCTTGGGATGAAATGGCTTAGAGAGATGGATGCATTGTTCCTTTTATGTGTTATAATGACGGATAATCAACAATGAATAATTTGACTGCCTAAATGTACTCCTGTTGTTTGTAAGAGGTCTTCTTAAGAGGTTTTCTTTTTTCCCATCATTACAGAATTTTCATACAAATAAATGGATATATTATAAATTAGAATTCTAAGATCCGTGTTTCTGCAATATGTTTTCCAGTATTTATGGAATCTGAAGCCCGTGGTTGAATCATAAATCAGTCTTACCTGTTTTAGAAGAATGGTATGAAGTTGGGATGTGGTGTTAAAAGGATTCACAGATCCAAACATGAGCGGAAACGAGACCTGTGAAGAGTGTCATAAACAAAAACGGGATCATATCATTTTGGTTTGTGTAATTGTATGGCTCTTCAAACACACAATTACAAACTTTAGCCAATGTAGTGACATCAGTTCACCTAATCACATGTTATTAGCGTGCTGGAGAACCCAGAGAAACCTGATGTCACACATCACCTGCCTTCAGGGTAACTCGTATTGTTGTTGATACATAAATTGATGGTGAACCCATTTAAAGGATGATTGTAGCTGCCACTGTGCACTTCTAGAAAGAGCTGTACCTGAGTAGAAACTGGTTGTATGACATCCTCCACCTGAGGCGGGGTCTTGGGCGACTCTGCTGGCTCCTCCCTTGGCCTCTGGGCCTTTGACTCAGTCGGCTCCCTTCCATCGCTCTGAATCTTTCGCTCATTTCCGGGCATTGCTGGTGGAGTGGAACCACAGTGCACTCTCAGGACAAGGAATATTAGGTTGGATGAGGTTCAAAATGACAGCAGTTGTCACTTGATCAGTACAAAATAATGGCTGCACAAAGCTTTGTTAAGATCATGCCCACAATGACATTCATCTAAAGCAAAACAAAACAAAACAAAAAAAAAAAAACAGAAGTAAGCAGACTGCAGATGATGATGAACTGAAAATGAACCAGAAACATTGGATGTGGAAACAGGTATTGATTTGAAGTAGGTACTGTAGCAATCCATAAAAGAATTCTACAACATTTAGCATCAAATCTTGGAAGAACATTGCAAGTAGACTGAAAACAATTCAAATTTAATTTAGTCTAGGTGATAATTAAAAATAAAACCAGGATTACAGAATTGAACAGCATCATCCTGAATATGAGGTCTGAATATGAGTAGCAATCATACAGCCCTGTATTATTGCATTTTTGTGCATGCTTATTGTTACTCATCAATCAAGACATTCACGTCTAAGAATATGTCATAAATCAAATCATGAAACATGCTTATTTCTATTTCAGTTTGTGTACTTTGACCTTAATTTGTCTGTGCCATTGTAAGCACTTAAAATACTAAAACACAGTAGTAGCAGCTGAGAGACAATTTATTTTTAATTTGCTGGATCAAAGCCCCTAGTCACTTACAATGGCCAGTTCGGTCTCAAATGGGTCAAGATGTACAGTCATGGCCCAAATTATCGGCACCCCTAGAATTTTTCCAAAAAATGCACCATTTCTCCCAGAAAATGGTTGCAAATAGAAATGTTTTGGTATACACATGTTTATTTCCTTTATGTGCATTGGATCAACACAAAAAAACAAAGAAAAAAAAGCCAAATTTGACATAATTTCACGCAGAACTCCAAAAATGGGCCGGACAAAATTATTGCCACCTTTTCAAAATTGTGTGTAAATCATTTTATTTCAAGCATATGATGCTCGTTTGAACTCACCTGTGGCAAGAAGGTGCTGGCAATATAGCAATCACACCTGAAGCCAGTTAAAATGGAGAAAAGTTGACTCAACCTTTCTGTTGTGTGTCTGTGTGCCACACTAAGCATGGAGAACAGAAAGAAGAGCAGAGAATTGTCTGAGGACTTTTGAACAAAAATTCTGGAAAAATATCAACAATCTTAAGACTACAAGTCCATCTCCAGAGATCTTCATGTTCCTTTGTCCAGGGTGTGCAACATAATCAAGAAGTTCACAACACTTGGCACTGTAGCTAATCTCCATAGACATGGACAGAAGAGAAAAATTGATAAAAGACTGCAACGAAGGATAGTCTGAATGGTGGATAAACAGCCCCAATCATCTTCTAAACAAATTCAAGCTGTTCTGCAGACTCAGGGTGCATCAGTGTCAGCTCGAACTGCCCGTCGACATCTGGATGAAATGAAACGCTATGGCAGGAGATCCAGGAGGACCCCACTGCTGACACAGAAACATAAAAAAGCCAGACTGGAGTTTGCCAAAATGTACTTCAGGAAGCCAAAATCCTTCTGGGAGAACGTCTTGTGGATAGATGAGACCAAGGTAGAGCTTTTTGGCAAAGCTAATCATTCTACTGTTTACAGAAAACGGAATGAGGCCTACAAAGAAAAGACCACAGTACCTACAGTATACTCAAACATGGTGGAGGTTCTACGATGTTTTGGGGATGTTTTGCTGCCTCTGGCACTGGATGCCTTGACTGTGTGCAAGGCATCGTGAAATCATCATGACTACCAAAAGATTTTGGGGCGCAATGTAGGGCCCAGTGTCAGAAAGCTGGGTCTGTGTCAGAGGTCATGGGTGTTCCAGCAGGACAATGACCCCAAACATACCTCTAAAAGCACCCAGAAGTGGTTGAAGACAAAGCGCTGGAGAGTTCTGAAGTGGTCAGCAATGAGTCTGGATCTAAATCCGATTGAACACTTATGGAGAGATGTCAAAATTGTTGTTGGGATAAGGCACCCTTCAAATCTGAGAGACCTTGAGCAGTTTGCAAAAGAAGAGTGGTCGAAAATTCCAGTTGAGAGGTGTAACAAGTTTGTTGATGGTTATAGGAAGTTAAGTTGAGGGTGCCAATAATTTTGTCCGGCCCAGTTTTTGAGTTTTATGTGAAATTATGTCAAATTTGGCTTTTTTCTGTTTTTTGTGTTGTTCCAATGCACATAAAGGAAATAAACACTTGTAATTGTAGCAATTTTCTGGGAGAAATGGTGCATTTTCTGCAAAAATTCCAGGGGTGCCAATAATTTCGGCCATGACTATATGGCCAGTCAGTTTCACAAAATATTTTTCTTAAAATTAAATTATGGTTTATACAAAAGACATCTTCAGGATCTTCATTCTTTCTTGAATACCATTTTGGTCTCTGGTCTGGATGTCAATTAGAATGATGTACCATGGGGACATTAATGAGCAGTAATGAACACGTTGATTTGAGTTTGAGAGTTAGGTGGCAAACAGAAATGGCCAATGTATTGAGGGGTTTCAGAATTATTTTTTCTATTCTTTTTTATCTAAATGATATTTCTTAAATATGTAAGCTACAAGTTTTTTGTAGTTATTCTAAGCTTCAGTCACAGGTCATAGTGACACAGATTAGAAGTTCACATAATCTTCCTGACTCTAGAAACATTGGTGTTTCTTCACAACTGAAGTTCCTATATTTCTTTTCATCTCAAACAAGTAAACAAGCAACCAAGAGAACAAGCCACAGCCACAAGGTACCGTGAGCCACAGGAGTAAGGGGGGGATACGCAGTGAAGGCACAGGTGCATTCCAAGACTGCGGTGACAGCACTGCATGGGGAAGACAGGCAGGCAGTCTGCCTGACAGAGGAAGGGGGGGCGTGATACTGTCAGCTGCATTTCACCGTTGGTTTAACCTGCCTTGTACATAGTGAGAAATGCATAACCACACATTTCTAAGAGCAAGGGTAGAACTGTCACCCAAGACTTACGCCTGGAAAGCACTTTACAGAAATAAATGAATAAATTATTCAAAATTCTTACATACTTTGTGACACAGGACTTATTGTGCTCAAAAATATTTTTTTCTAGCATTTTGCAGGACAATGTGTGATATTTAGAACCACAGGGCAAGCAAAACAAACCACAAACTGAACAGTATTTGGAGAACGACAGCATTGTGCTTTGTTTGGAGGATGTTTAGAGAATTTCATGGTTTGCTAAGAAATGCATGATACCCTGTGGGTCTGTGTAGCAAGTGTTGAATTATATCTGTATTTAGCTTTAGTTGGGGAAAGGAAAAGCCATGCTTTTTCTGTGCCACTGCACACACACTTAAATTTAACTCAAATTAAATGCTTAATTTGTGCCAGATCCTGCTGGAAAGCTTTCCGGGACATCTCCATTTCCAGTTATCCAGGACGGACCTCTCTGTTTCCGATTGTCTGGGACAGACCTCTCCGTTTCCGATTGTACGGGACTTCTCAGTTTCTGATTGTTGGGGACGGACCTCTCTCTTTCCAATTGTCTGGGACGGACCTCTCCATTTCCAACTGTCTGGGGCAGACCGCTCTGTTTCCTATTGTACGGAACCTCTCCGTTTCTGATTGTCCGGGACCTCTCTGTTTCTGATTGTCTGGGACCTCTCTATTCCTGATTGTCCGGGGTGGACCTCTCTGTTTCCGATTGACATTGTCTGGGACGGACCTGTCCATTTCTGATTGTCCAGGGCCTCTCAGTTTCTGATTGTCCAGGACAGACCTCTCAGTTTCCGACTGTCTGGGACAGACCTCTCTATTTCCGATTGGACGGAACCTCTTTGTTTCTGATTGTCTGGGACCTCTCTGTTTCTGATTGTCCGGGACCTCTCCATTTCCCATTGCCGGGGATGGAACTCTCCATTTCCGATTGTCCAGGACGGAGCTCTCTGCTTCTGATTGTCCAGGACCTCTCTGTTTCTGATTGTCCAGGACAGACCTCTCAGTTTCCGACTGTCTGGGACAGACCACTTTGTTTTCGATTGTACGAAACCTCTCCGTTTCTGATTGTCTGGGATTGACCTCTCCGTTTCTGATTGTCTGGGATAGACCACTCCATTTCTGATTGTCTGGGGCAGACCTCTCTGTTTCCGATTGTCTGGGACCTCTCTGTTTCTGATTGTCTGGGGCAGACCTCTCTGTTTCCGATTGTCTGGGATCTCTCTGTTTCTGATTGTCTGGGACCGCACAGTTTCTGATTCTGCCACCTATTTGTTTATTTTAATATACAGGGCAGTCTTCATGAAATTTCACCTCCTTTATTAGTTTAGATTAATTCTTAAAAATGCATAGCATGCTTTCACTACCGTGTTTTGTCTGTGTCCCACAATCCGCACCGGCCTCATTACCCCTCCACTCTCATTACGTTCTGGTACCTTTTGAGTAAGTTAAGCACCGATTGGATCACTGTGAAAGCAGCAGTTATCAAGTGAAGACATGCATAGTGTCCAGGTTTGAGTACCACTTCCAAGTGAGAAAGTGTTTCTAAAAAATGTTGCACGGCATAAAGGGCCTCTTTCTCTAAATTTCTGTGAGAGGTGTTTGATAAAGCTTGGATGATAACGGATGATTCTATTATTACCACCTTTGAGGTTAATAATGCTTATTGGTAAATGTCAGCCCTACAAGGCTATGAAGTGCCCAGAAAGTGTTTCGCATCCATACAGCTTTAGACAGCTAGAACACATTCTGTGAGCATGAACACACAAGCGCACAAGCCCAGGAAACAGGAATTCAGTCAAAAACAAAAGTACAGAATCTCTCTGCGGTTTTCTTTTTTTTCTCTTCATTTCATGAGAAAAACAACCCCTTCACCTCCAAAGAAAAAGAGAAAGTTTTTGAAATGAACCAAAATGAAACAAGGCTGTTTTTTGTAATTGTGTTCATAATTATTAATTATAGAGATCAAAAGGGAAGTACAATAATAGAGCAACTTATTTACCTTACTACATTATGGTAAAGTGTG